TTACTAAGAATTAAGTCACACAGTTTTTACTGTTTTTTTACTAAGTCAATCAAATCAATCAATAAAAAAAAGCGTTACCCAATTACTGTCAAGATAACTAAGTGTTAAAAATCTTGATGATCGAACTTGCACATTAACAATAATATTTTTTTAACAATGAAATCAAAACATATATACAAATTAGTTTTGCAAAGATCTTGAGTTAATAACAAATAAAATTTTGCTAAATTTTATGTGCTATGGTCCTCTCATAAGTTAAACCCTTTACCCCAATTATTTATAGAGGCAAATATTCATTAATTAATTATATTTCGAGGAATATTCTCCACTGAACGAAGCTTCTAATATGAACACGAATATTTGTAATTTAACGATTTCTGCAATTGTGACTCGTCAGCGTTACCAAGGATCAGTCAATCAGAGAACTGCCAATCAGAGTATAAAATTAAATAGATAGTCAAGTTACGGTTGTAAGCGTTTGAAAGTGCGGAAGTCGTACCCCTTACTTCTGCGGTTTTCACAATGCGAGAGTTGAGATGTGTTGGTGGGCGGTTACATGCTCTTCAGTATATCTAAGAAAGCAGTGCAGCAGAGGTTTCCTTTCTTCCATTCGTCACTCGGAATCTCCTTGATATAATGTCTCCTTTTATGCGGAGGCATAACGTCTCTGTAACTTAATTTCTAACTTTCATCAATTAGCTAATAGGAACTTGTTCTTGGCCAAGATTAAATATATTCTAAAGAAACTCCTCATAGTGTTAAACTCCTCATTAAGTAGTATGTAGTAAATGTAATAATAATAATACGCTTGTGATTCATTTGCATCCACTCTAATGTGGTACATACATGATCTAGCATCTGTGTCAAAGAAGCTAGCTACCGCTAATATTATCGACTACAGTAGCGCCCACCGGAGTGGGCCGCTGCTTGCAGCGCACGCCCGACCCCAGGACGCGGGAAGAGGGGAGAACACGTGCTGCTTACAGTGACGGAAGAAGCTAGTAGGCGGAAGCTGAAACTGAATAGTGGCACTGTAGATAATGTTTTAATACAGACAACGAAAACCATGATCTCATTCCCATTTTGAAATAAATGGGCTACCTCCAAAGATACGACTCATCAGAAGACACTTTGCAAAACAAATAAACAAGTAAATAAATAAAATCGCCGAGTGGGAAGATTATATATATATATATATATATATATATATCTTCCGGACCACTGCGCCGGCTGAAAAAGTGGGCGGGGGCGGGGCGGGGCCGGCGGCAGAGGCCTCCACGGATCGTCGCTTGCTGAATGTTATCGAGCGTAGACGGACAGGGCGCCGGGTGAAGAGGGCTGGCGGCGGGACGGGACGGGGACGGTGACGGCGGGGGACGGGAAGGGGTGTGGGCAGAGGAGTTTGAGGAATAGATGGCGGCGGCGCGGCTTTGGGCACCGCGGCCTTTGACAGGAGCGTGCGTGACGTCTGCCAGATGCGCTACTCTCTTGCCCCTCCGTACACAACGCCCGAGATTTTGAGATGTTGCGCGCCTGGACCCTGTGTGATTGATCGCAGGGGCTCGCGGTCCACTCCGCCGTCGTCGTCTTTCTCTAGGAAATCTGACAAGATCAGTCGCGCCGGATAATATGCACTCGACGTCGTACTTGTTCCTGCCTGCTTCTACGTATAGAAAAATCTCTAACCGTGGTTGTAGTCAGAGATCCATTTTTTGGGTCCTCAACCGAAAAAGTCGATGACGCAGGAACGTCTGTTCTGTTCGACTGTGGTTAAAACGTAGCGCCTAAACTCTTTATCCACGAGGCCCGTAGTGTTGTAGCGTCTCAATAAATAAATGATATTCCAATATATTAATTATGAGAATATAATACTCTCACGAGGTCTTTGAGTGAGTTATCAATTAATATATGGTATCCACGTCCGGCAGATGTCCTTTATATATATCTGTGTTTTTCAATTGTTTTCTCAAAAAGTAGTTATCTTCTGATGTGCGATCGATTTCTTTTGTGATCTAGAACTTGTCCTTCCCAGTATTTCAAAAATTACAGCCGCGAAAGAGATTATATGGCAGGTATGCGAATGGTTTTTCTTCTCATAGTGTGTCAGAGTAATTAACCACACGATTATCTACAAGGGCCACTAGTTCTATGTGTTTCAGTCTGATACATATTGCAAAAACAAATAAAATTTTATGCGTTTCTCTTCTTTACGATAACTCACATATTTATGAGACAGAAGTCACACATCTTGTTGTCTGTTACATACACAACTTCTTATCCTCTGTCGATCCATTTGGTCGCTTTAAATAAGTTATTTCTCAAATTTCTCGCAAGACTGCTGATATGTCAGCAGGCCTTCAACGCCTCAATTTGGAGGGCGCCGACTGTCAGTGAGACTTTAGAATAAATATATATGAAGACACATTTCTCGAAAACAAATCTTCAGACTTTTTTCTTTTTAATTCTACAGTTGCCTAGATCGATGGTATTGTTGAACGCACGGTTAGAAGTGCTTGATTGAGCTAAAATATAAGCGTGAAATCACATGCTATTTCTCATATTTATCTATTTTGAACTTTTCTGGATTGTTATTTCTAAAAATATCTGTTACAATAATCTATCATTAAATAAGTAGTTTTGAGATCTAGATATGAAGAGTATATGGGCGTACTGTCTCATCAAGTCTATATATGATCTCAATCCTCTGGAAACTGTCGGTGAGACTGAATATTTGATGACAGTCTTAAGCCCTCTTGGTATACATATCAGGTTTACTAGAACGGTTGAAATAAATAAACATTCACCAAGAGTACTCCAGTTTTAGGTTGCTTGCATTATGGAAACACAACGTCAGGATTAATTTTGTTCGTTACTAACTACTAATTATGGTATTTATTTGGTAAATTAAAGAAACAATAGTTCAATTTTCTATATTTGTTTTATTTCTTCTTTGTTCGAGTTTGTTTATGGTCTTCAAGAACATGATTCCTTATAATTGAGTCTCAAACACAGTTTCAGAAAAAACAATATCCATGTAGCATCGATATTTCCCATTGGAATAAAGGAACAACTACGTTTCTCAAATAATCTACTTAATATTCTGTACAGTGTCGCGTTTTTTTATTTCTTATTTCACAAAAAATTACGATTACTTCTTTCCCTTCTTTTCATAGTAAGTCTCATCTACATACGAAAAATAAATGCGAAGATTGCAATTCCTAAGTAAAACCTCCTCATTTAAACATGACTTCGAAAACTCTGCTCTTGAAAAGCATACAAACTTATTACGTGACATTAGACAGCTTTCATTAGCTTTGCATTCGGCTTCTCGCATTTTTACTGGTTTGTACGAGTTTGCAATGGGTGATGGAAGATGACTTACTAGCAATGTTTCTTTTATTGCCCGTATTTACGTCCTTTTCATACCACAGTGTATTGTTGTACCATTTCTTATGTTGTGTTTGTAGACACATTGCTTCAAAATGTCACGCTTATTAAATTTTATATAAAATCACAAACCTGCTAATTCGCTGTGATAAGTATTTAAAACCTACAAGTGATTGTGTAATGCGGGTTTCCAAAAATAACATTGAAGCTGAGGAACGTATAACAATGTGAGGCAATAGAGCTCTTTCTGACGTGTTGTTATCATGTGGAACAAGAGCAACATCATCCACTCACTACAAAATCGCCCGCCAAGTCCGCATTAGCCAGAGCGCTGCATTGCATCGCGACTAATTAAGATTTAAGCCCTTCCGTCGGAAGGGGAGGCGCCGTGACTGGCGCATGTCTGCCCGCCATTTGTTCAGAGCTCGTCGCGACGCCCCTGCTGGGCGGCGGCGGACATTAAATAAGACGCCGCCGTCGACGAGACGGAAGACGATATACTCCTCCCAGCGGCCCTGCGTCTCTTTCACCACCCTCGTCTTCCCCACCTCCTCAAACCTGCGAAGGTGGCGTAGGGGCATAAACTATGTCATTGCAGTGCCTCTGACTGAGAGGGTCCTTGGCTTTCGACTAGACGGTGGCAGGATTTTCGTTTCATGGCTATGTCGAGTTCAGCCGCTGTCTGAGGAGCATTTAGCCCGGCCAGTTTTTGGTTTTTTTTTTTTTATTAACTTCTGC